CCAATAGGAGGACTGATAAATAGTGTCCATCCATACATTTAGCTACTATTTAGAAGTTTAAGTAAAATACTACAGTTACATGTATCACCATGGATAAGTCTCATAAAGATAATGTTGACCAAAAAAATGCAAGCTGTAAAAAGCAAAACAATTCTATATATTATTTAGGGATAAAAACATATATAGTAAAAGTAATACAACATTCATCAGAATAAAAAACATCAAATTCAGAACACTAGTTATCTTGTGCTGGCCAGTTAGCTCAGTCGGTTAGAGCATAACCTTGTAACACCAAGGTCAAGGGTTCAGATTCCCACAGCTGCCAAAGAAAGAAAAAAGAGAAAAAACTTCATTTACAGAACAGTAATCTCTGGAGACAATGAGGGAACTGAAATTGGAAAGAGACAATCAAAGGGCTTCCATTATATCTCTAACATTTTTATTTCTTAAAGTGGGAAGATGGTATAAGAGGTTTAATGTATTATTCTCCATTCCTTTTTTGTACCTCTCAAATATTTCATAATTTTATTAGATAAAGATAAAGATATCTAAGGATACATTTCAAACTATACAGAAAGAAAGGAAATGGGATATATGGGGCAAGCTTTCATTTGTTGCTTTTTACACATCTAACTCCTTTTTGAATTATTAAAAATGTACCTCCTCTTTTAATTATTGAAAAAATATAAGTGATAAGTGTTAGAATCCCGATATAAAGATAAGTTAAAACAAAACAAAACAAACCACACACATAGACACAATTTTGTGACCACTTACAGTAGCCATCTGAAATCCTCTGGCTTAATGTTAGAAGATTAGTGGCAAATGTGGTCAACTTTAAACGGCCATCATCAGAATGGGAATAAATCCATGGAAGTGACAGCATTCCACATAAATCTTCCAGAATATGATCTTCAAATGAACTTTTCACTACAGAAACACAAAATATGTCATTAGTTATATCCTTTCCTTAATCATATCTAACTTTGTCTTTTTTAAAATAAAAACATAGACCTTTGAAACATCAAGTGGAATTATAATGAACATTCAATAAACAGGGGTTCTTAACATAGAGATCCATGAATGATGTTCTGAGGTCGGTGAATCCAAAGAAATTAAATGTGACTTTATAAAAATAAGCACCTATGCATTTTTTCTTTTTAGTAGAAGGACCATAGCATTATTCAGATCTCAAATCAAAAAGCTTTGGGCTGGCCGATTAGTTCTGTTGGTTAGAACACGGTGCTATAACACCAAGGTCAAGGGTTCAGATCCACATACTGGCCAGTTGCCTCCCCAAAACAAAAAATAAACAAGGAAAAAAAAAA